CTTTGTCAGCCAGCAAAAATAGGTACCTCTGGAGGAAATTAGGGTTGGGGACTCTTCAGAGCTTATCTGGTTTCAGTGCAAGGAAGAAAGAGGGGTGAAAACTCCACTGCACAAGCAGAAGTCCCCTTTTTGTTGTCAGATGCAGCCTTTGGGCTGTTTTACTTCAAGGCTGAAGTCCCATTTCTGTTTGTACTGATTTTTAATGAGACAAAATACTGTACAGTGATTAAGCTGTATAACATACTGTATCAATTTTTTTCCTGTCAAAATTTGATTAGATCCACGCACATGTACACATTTTGTCCTGTGTCCCTTTCTAATAATTTCACTATAAAGGCACTTAATAGAAATGGTTTTTTATTATATTTGGTCCAGTTAAAATAAAGGCAGGAATGGAAGTGCTCCATTTACTTTTGTAGCCTGATCCTCTGTACTCTGTACTCAGAAGCAATTCCCAGTGGTTTCAGTGGAAATCATTTCCAAAAAGTGCATAAGTCCATGACATTAACATTACGCAGGAAGACAACTGTTATTAACAGGTTAACCTAATAAATACCCACAACTGACTGCTGCTTAGCCCTTGAATCATGTTGATGATTTGAACATATCTCTTCCGCTACATTTTACAATGTAAAATGTTGGAAATTAAACAAGCAAGCAAAAAAGTAATCAACAGTGAAAGATAAAGATGTAGCAGATAAAACCACTATTTTAAAAATAAGAGATGCTTAGTATTCTTCCAGTGTAACCCTTTGAATCGTAACAGCTTTGAATTCAGTACTCCTAGATTATGTACCTGCATGATCAAGGAGCATCTTGTGCCAGCTATCTCCGTATTTTGTGGATTTAGGGAAACACATACCCATAGAGCCTCTGTTTCTTCTGGATTTAGTTTAACATCCAATCCACCACTGCCTTCAGACCATAGTTCAACACTTGCATGGTTTGCTCCTGGTTCCGAGAGTGAGAATGCTGAGTGTCATCTGTGTTTGGTTCCCTCCAAGGTGGTCTCACAAATTAGGGGAGACAGAACGGAGCCTTTCAGGAACCCACAGCTATGGAGTCCAACAAAAGATCCCCAGAGCTTACCTTCTGACAGTGATCCTTTAGGTAGAAAAAAGAACCATTCCTATAATGTCTCCAATTCACAACCCTTCATGCTGGATATACATGGGATGTGTATGTGGATTGCCACTGTGCCAACTGTTCCTATGTTTGGGGCCCTTAAACCAAGTTCTAGGCATTATAGTCAAAAAGTTCAGTACCGTAGGAACTAGCTATAAAATTCTCCCCTAAAATTTACCATTCCGCCATGTATGTCTAATGTGGGATATTTATATTCCTCATGCCAAGCCTAATGAATGCCTACTGGGAGGAAAAGTTCTGAAGGACTCAAAAATTTGCCTTCTAAATTATATTTGGGGCTGGGGGCTAGTAACAGTATTATCCAATTCTGTTTTTCAGTTCCATAAGAATAAGTCTCAACTCTGTAACGTTTTGAGAAGGCACAAACAACAATACTGTACGTAGTTCCCAACCTTGGGTAACCCAGGTGTTTTTTGGACTGCAGTTCCTAGAACCCTCAGCCAGCACAGCTAGAGGTGAAGGCTTATGGGGACTGCAGTCCAAGAACACCTGGGTTACCCAAGTTTTGGAACCACTTATGGTATGTAGAAAATAAAACTGCACAGCTGCAGTCTGATGCCCACTGACAGTAGGTCCCACAGCAGAACTGAACAAACATATTTGTCATAGATTCCACCATATCTGTTTTGAAGCCTATATGTTTCTGTGGAGTGGGATAATCAAATGTAAATAAAATAAATTGGTCAAAAGAAGAAGAAAAGAACGGGTAAGAGACGCTTCACAATAAACTACTGACATGGTGTATTGTGCTTTGTGTAATCAGACAAATTAACACATTAACAAGATTTCTGTCAGACTGTTCTCATAAATGAGATTGAGGAGGAGAGATCTCATGTTTTAAATGTACTGTAGTATTTAATATTTGAATACCAAGTATGATTTAACTGATAAGATTAAGGCCTGTACTCATGGAGACAAGTTAAAGGCAGCAGGAAAAAAAGAAGACAAAATATGAAATGGACTGACTCAGTAAAGGAAGTCATGGCTTTGAGTTTGCAAGAGCTGAGTAGGGTTGTTAATAAGAAGACATTTCAGAAATCACTCATTCATAGAATCTTCATTAAGGTGACTTGACTGCACATAACAGTGTGGGATATCAGTGGATTTGTTAAGCAGTTTACTTAAGCATTTGGATCATTTTACCTTGTACAATTGTGAAGGTAATACAGTATGACTATTCTGTAAGGCTGCAAAGAGAATACAAACTCTAATTCTGCTTCCCATAGGCTAATTTCTTATGCATTTTAGTTAGAAAACAGCTGATTTCTACATTAGGCTGTGGGTCCATCTACGTAGCTCAGTATTGACTGCACTGGCTGTCAACAACTCTGGAGTTTTAGACTTTTAGAAGCAAACCACATGCACTATTACTGAGCCATGACCCCTTTTCTCAAGATAAATACTACAATTCTACTTAATTTTGTGAAATAAGTATTTTCTACATGCAAATTCTTCTACTGTATACATTTCTGAAGAAAATACATGTCCCTGGTCTGATGAAGTGCCCTTCGTTTTATTTATGATTGGGCTGCTCTAGTTGTGGTGTCTTTACGAATTGTCTATTTGCACAGTATACTGGTCTGATTTATGGTATGTGGGTAAACAGAAAAAGGCTAATAAGCTAACACTATTTTTGGAGTGGATCATGTCACAAAAAGCATCATGAAGACCCATTCGTTAGCAACAGCTCATCTGTAGTAGCCCTCAGAGGGATAAATTTTGGTTTTATGTATTTATATTCATGCATACATTAAAAAAGTGATCTATAAGGGTTCTCATCTTTGCACCTACTTCAGCAGGGAAATTGATGGTTGTTACTGAGGCCCATTTTCTCCACCTGTCTTTAATGCCAGATAAGAAGACAATATGTGTGTGAAAACTGTATTTGTTGAATGAAACTTGTAAGAATTTCACTACTTAATGAAGAACATGATAATGATACATTATATGTACCGTTATTAATAAAGGCTGGATAGCTGGGTGCATTACTGTACGTATCTGACTGCAGAGCCAGAGGTTGGGAATTTGATTCCCTTCTGTGCCCCTAGGGAGAGAAGCCAGCTGGTGTGGCCTTGAGCAAACTGCACAGTCCCAGGATGGCCACAGAAGAAAAGAACGGTAAACTACTCTGGACCTAAAAAACTCTGAAAGGAGTTGCCATAAATCAGAATTGACTTAATGGCGCACAATAACACCACCAGTAATAAAGGGGGCAGGGTGGGGAGGGAGACTTTCACTGCAGTCTCAGCCATCTCTTGTCTAATCCATTTGCCACCTTTCTCTGCGCAGCTTTTCCTAAACCAAGCTCTCCATAAGACATGTTTGCCCCATTCTAAGACTGAAAGGGTTGGGGCACAAGGAAGCCCTCCCGTGATGCTATGCGTATCCTGCCACATAAATCTAATCTGCTAATACCTCACGGAGGGGTTGGCAGCCTGAATTATCTGAAAGAAACTGATAAAGTTGCCGGATTTTAACAAAACAATACCACCTGGTTTATTAGTCCTCAGAAGCAAGTGACAAAAAAAAGGGCCCTGTTGTGGAACTTCGCGTGCCTAGGACTGTTTGTGGAAGAAGACGCACACAAAACAGCGAAATGAAATATTTCGATGCCCTGCTCGTTTAGCAATTCTTTGAGGAATTCTTGAAGGAAAACGTGTAAAAAAAAAAAAAAGGCAAAACACCACAGGCCCTAATTTGAAGGACACGCTCACCGTAAGGAACGGCTTCTAGAAGAACACGTGCTATATTTTCCCCCTTTTTGAGGAAATGCAAGCCGTCACTTTTCCTTGTAGGCGGAAGTCAACGCTTCTAGAGCGCCGGCCTCGTCCTCTCCCCATCCCCCTTCACTAACATAACGGGCAGAGCTCATCTGTCTGTCTCTCGCTCGCTCTTTCTTTCGCCCCCCCCATCCTTCCCCTCGCAGTTGAGCTTAGTATCACAGAGCTGCACGCTCCCTCTCCGGCGTGCGCGTACACGCGCACACACGCCCTCTCCCACAGACGCGGGGAAGGAGGAGGAGAGATGCAAACGCAAACGAGAAAAAAAAATCTCAGCTGCACTTCTGGCCCTTTTAAAAAGTTTGTGTAAATTGGAATGAGGTCAGATTTGGAGCTTTTCATTGCACGCGGTGATTATTATTACATTAGGTTCCAAGCCAATAGGAGCCGAAGGGGTGGGGTTTGGCACGACGGAGCGTTGGATACAGCTTGTGATTGGCTGGGGAAATGACTGGGGAAGAATAAAGGGGCGCGAGGCGGAATTGGGGTCCGCGCAAAGCTGCAGCAAGAGAAAGTGTGCTCGTGCGCGTGTAAGAGACTCGGGGCAGGCCACTTCCAGAGCCTTAGTTTGTTACATGTCTCTTCCCTCTCTTTGGGGCGGTACATCCAGGAGAAGGCGAGACGGGACTAAATACATTTCTTGCACCAGTCACCGGTCTTCCTCCCAGGAAGACACACATTTATTAATGCTACTCGGTTGCACAAGCGGGGCTTTTTCCCCCCCGTTTAATCCCGCGCAGCTACCGAATAACAATCGAACAAACTCTTGATCGCTTCTACCACGAGTTCTGGACTGAAGAAGAGACATCTTTTTTTTTTTGCTGCCTTTCCTTGCTTTTGTTTTGTGGGAGGCGGGCACATGCTACTTTTTAAAAAGCAAATTATTTGTGGGTTTTTTTTCCGAGAAGAGACTTTTAGCAGCAAGCAAAGTGCTTTTGCAAAGAACACCTCGAGCAGAGGGTAACAGAAAGGGAAGAGAGAAAAAAGCCCTTGTGAACTCGGGGGGGGTGGGGAGGTGGAAAAGAGATACAGAGCGAGAGAACTTGGATTGGTGGTTGGCGCTTGGAGGAAAAGCAAATTATTTGTGGGTTTCTTTTTCTAGAAGAGACTTTTAGCGGCAAGCAAACTGCTTTTGCAAAGAACACCTCGAGCAGAGGGTAACAGAAAGGGAAGAGAGAAAAAAGCCCTTGTGAACTCGGGGGGGGTGGGGAGGTGGAAAAGAGATACAGAGCGAGAGAACTTGGATTGGTGGTTGGCGCTTGGAGAGAGAGAGCGAAAAAAAGCCAGAAAGGCGGGAAACTGTTTCCACTTGGAGTCCGGCTTCCGCAATTAGACTCCCAGCGCAAAGTTACGTTGGGAGGGGGGTGGCGTGCAGAAAAGTGCCGGAGAGACAAAAGCGGTTGGAGCTACAACTACTTTCCAGAGAGGACGGTGGCTTAAGCAGCAGAGGGACGGACGGAGTGCCGGCGAAGGGGCTGGAGAGCGCCGGGGGACGGACGAAGTTACGTGTGGCGTCTCAAGCTGGTGCCAAACTGAGCCCCGCCGACTTCCCCACAGCCGCCGCCGCGCGCGCGATCCCGCCGAGATGGTGCAACAGACGAACAACGCGGAGAACACGGAAGCGCTCCTGGCCGGCGAGAGTTCGGACTCCGGCGCCAGCCTGGAGCTGGGCATCGCCTCCTCGCCCACCCCGGGCTCGACGGCTTCGACGGGGGGCAAAGCGGACGATCCGAGCTGGTGCAAAACGCCCAGCGGGCACATCAAGCGCCCCATGAACGCCTTCATGGTGTGGTCCCAGATCGAGCGGCGGAAGATCATGGAGCAGTCCCCGGACATGCATAACGCCGAGATCTCCAAGCGCCTGGGCAAGCGCTGGAAGCTGCTCAAGGACAGCGACAAGATCCCTTTCATCCGAGAGGCGGAGCGGCTGCGACTCAAACACATGGCGGACTACCCGGACTACAAGTACCGGCCCAGGAAGAAGGTGAAGTCAGGCACGAACTCGGGGAAGCCCGGCGAGAAGAGCGCGGGCGGCGGCGGAGGAGGAGGAGGGAGTGGCGGCGGCAACGGCGGCAGCAGCAGCAACAGCCCGGGCGCAGCCACCGCCGCCACCGCCTCCAACTCTTCCAAACTCAACGTGAAAAAGGGCAGCGCCGCCAAAGTCTCTGCGGGTGGTGCCGGCAAGCCGCATCCCAAGCTCAGCCTGAGCCACGGCAAAGGCGCGCCCGCCTTCCCCGCCTCGGAGCAGCCGCCGGCTGCCCTCCTTCCGCCGGAGCACCACTCGCTGTACAAATCCCGCGCCGCTTCGCCGGGCTCCTCCTCGCCCTCCAGCGCCGCCGCCAGCAGCAGCAAACACCTCCCCGAGAAGAAGGCCAAGCGGCTCTACCTCTTCTCGCACGCCTCGCCCGGCGGCGCCGTGCCGGCCAGCCCGACGCTGAGCAGCACCTCGACGGAAGCCAGCGACCCGCTGAGCCTCTACGAGGAAGCGGGAGCCTTGGCGGGCCCTCAGCAGGACGGGGGCGACCCTTCGGCTTCCCCCGTGGGCGGCTGCTCGCCCTCCGACCACCGAAGCTACACCAGCCTGAGGGCGCCCTCGCCGGCCCCGTCCACCGCGCGCTCCTCCTCGTCGTCGTCCTCCTCGGCCTCCTTCTCCTCCTCCTCCTCGTCGCCGGGCTCCTCCTCCGCCTCCTGCGCTTCCTCCTCCTCGGACGACGAGTTCGAAGACGACCTGTTGGACCTCAACCCCAGCCCGGGCTTCGACAGCATGGCCCTGGGCAGCCTCGGCTCGTCGGTGCTGGACAGGGACCTGGATTTTAACTTGGAGCCGGGCTCAGGCTCCCATTTTGAGTTCCCGGACTATTGCACCCCGGAGGTAAGTGAGATGATCTCGGGGGACTGGCTCGAATCCAGCATTTCCAACCTGGTCTTCACGTACTGAGGGGGCCGGAGGAAGAGGAGGAGGAAGAAGATGAGAAGAGTCGAAAAGAAAAAGGAAGAAGAAACGGGGAGTGCGTCGGGGGTGTGTGTGTCACAGACTCGCAACACAACACAGACCCAACCCCCAGTGCTACAGACTGGAGAACGAGCATTTCGCCCACAGTTCCTGAGAGAGAGAGAGAGAAAGAGAGAGAGAGAGAGAGTGTGTTGCTGTTTTCCCTTCTTCCTAAATGAAACTGACTCGGTGTGTGTGTGTGTGTATTCGGGTGTTTTGTGTGCGGCGGGTTTTAAAGAAAAAATGGCAAAAGGGATCAGCATTTCCGTTTACTTCCTTTTTTGAAGTAAAAGTCACCGCAGGCCTATCTGTCTAGGTAACACAGAGGCACACACCCCCTTTTTTGTTGTTGTTGTTGTTTCCCCGCTCCATCCTTCCAACAGCCGACGAGTAAGTTCCACGTTTCAGAGACTTAATGGCGAGAGAATCAAGCGGCGTCAACACGAATTACGAATTCCAGCTGCCACCGGGGCGGATTTGTTGTGGGGAGGGGGCGAGGGTTGGAAATCAGGCACATCCAGACCAGGTTTTTTTTTTTCGTGGCCGTGTGAAGGGGGTTGGGTTGGGGACGAAGAGGTTTTCCT